TCGTAGTACCAGCAGTAGCCGCACTACTTCTAATCGTGTCCAGAATGATGGCATCCGTTCTTGCTGTTTTCGTAGCAGTCTTTGTCCTGTTTCAAGCACAGACCCCAAATAGGTTTAAACATCTTCTTCTGCTACCTCTTTGTGGTCCCTATAGAACCGTACCGCAAGATACCGCAAGACCCTATCCTGATCATCCCCCCTCCCCCAAAAAAAAGGAATCCAAAGCCCCGCGTACACCGTGCATCGTAAACAGCCAAAGCCGAGCCAGGCGCGCATGCAGATCCAACTCCAGGCATCTCCGGATCTCGGGTCGGCTCTTGTCGGTACAGAGTTTAAGAGTTTAGGGTTTAAGGGTNNAGGGTTTAGGGTTTAGGGATGGGATGCCGTTGTGGCATAGCCAAGATCGCACGCCGCAGCCGCTCAGAATGACCCTGACTAGCATTTGTGTAGGCGGTTTGGTGATTGCAGGTGTTTTTTTTGAGAGCCTTGAGCTACACCCCGGTTCTCATGATACCCTAAACCTTTCCAAACCCTAAACCCCAAACCCTAAACCCTCATGATTGCCGTCCCCAACCCTGAACATTCAAGCCTTGAGCCCCGAACCCTGATCCCCAAAATGACAAAGAGCAGGCGCCTATCCGCCGCCGCTCATCTTCGCCGTCCAAGGACACTATGCCTTCAGACCTTATGTATAGGACTTGGGGTTTAGGGGTTTAGGGTTTAGGGTTTGGGGTTTAGGTCGAGGACTAAGGGCATAGAGGTTTATCGGTGTTGCCGGCTTGGGGTTTGGATTCTGTTCCAGACGTCCATAAATTCTGAACAGCCGACCTTTTCTGCCAGATCCTGTGCCCGAGAAGCCCCCATCCCAACAACACATGTTTCAGCATGTTTGGGAAGGTGTTGCGGACGTCCTTGCAGTGGCTGTTGCTGTTGTGTTAGTCTTTATGTTGTGTGTCTGCTGTGGCGCCTCAGGGGGGCGGGGTTGAAGGGGGGGAGGGCGGAGGGCGGGGTAAAGCAGGGGTGGGGATGGGGAGCGTAGGCCGAAAGCTAGAGTCTGGAAGGGATGGTTGACGGGTGAAGGGGAGGGTGCAAGTGCGGGGCAGGGAAGAAAGCATATAAGCCCAATTAGCCCCACACCCTGAAGGTGGAGCAGGAGGAGGAGAAGGAGGAGGAGGAGGAGCCAAAGAAGACGGAGGATCAGGAAGAGCCTCAGAGATATCGCCGCGACGCATGCAAACATGCCCTTGCCACAATACAGGGCTCTGCGCCTTCACCACAACAGCAAAGAGTGCCTGAAAAGGCAAGTCTTCCAGGCGCGCCAGGAGGCGCAGAACTGGCCCTGATCCGGTTCTAAGCCCGCGACACGACCAACAACGCCTTTTGACGTGCCCTGGGCCCTACTTAAAGGATCATGGGACTTAGTAAGTAGGGTTATAACTAAGGTAACTATACTTATAACCCCAATTAGGGACTCATAACCTTACTTACTAAGTCCCATGATCCCCCAATTACGTCGATTACTAAGACCCGTGTATTACCCCTTTGGGCTTTAGTTCTCCGTTGATGCGCCCCTAAACCCTAAACCCTAAACCCTAAACCCTAAACCCTAAAGGTCAAACCCAAAGCTCTTGAACCTGGCAACCTCAAACTTGAAAGTCTGGTAGTTAGGATTTGGGGTTTAGGGTTTAGGGCTTCGGGCCCAGGGTTTGGTTTTTTTAGAGTTTAGGGCTTAGGGTTTAGGGCCTAGAGTATGGCATTTTTTCGAGTTTAGGGTTTAAGGTTTGGGCTTAGGGTTTAGGGCTTAGGGCCTAGAGCATGGCAGTTTTTCGAGTTTTGGGTTTAAGGTTTGGGCTTAGGGTTTAGGGCTTAGGGCCTAGAGCATGGCATTTTTAGAGTTTAGGGTTTAAGGTTTGGGCTTAGGGTTTTAGGGCTTGGGGCCTAGGGTTTGGAGTTTTTAGAGCTTAGGGTTTAGGGTTCAAGAGAGGGCCGCAGCCACGACCAGCCAGAAGAAGATGCCTAAGAACTGGAAAGCAGCGTAAGAAGAGCACCAGAGAACTAGAACCGCAAACCCGCAACCCCAACATTTTCAACCATCCACCCGCATATGACCGGCCCTAAACCCTAAACCCTAAACCCTAGACCCTAAACCCTAAACCCTGAACCTCTGGCTCTGAGACCTGACAGCTATGATAGGGATCCATCCCCCCATTCCCGAATAAGGTTTAGGGTTTAGGGTTAAGAACCATGGGTTTAGGGTTTAGGGTTAAGAACCAAGGAGTCCATCCTAAACCCAGACGGCCCTAAACCCTACAGCCTAAGCCCTGACCACACACACCAACAAACGTCATGGAAGAAGAGGAACTACGCAGTCATGACAGTAAGAACAGTAACAATTATGGTAACAAGCATGGTCATCATAACAGTCATAGTAACAACAATAATGCTAATCCTAAAAATGTTGTAATAATCATAGTAATAATAAGAATAAGACTAAAAAATAGCGTACCCTAAACCCTAAACCCCAAACCTTAAACCCTAAACCCTAAACCCTAAACCCAAAGTAAGGATAAGAGCCAGTGGGAAGACGAGGAGCCCCTGCCCGAGCCCAAGTTCCGCGCTCCGCCGCCGGGTTGGGCGAAGCGAGGCCGGGCCCGGCTTTCGAGGATTATGAGGTTTTGGGGGTTTTGGGGGTTTTGG